ATTTTGATTTATCTAGAGAAAAATTTGATAAAATCGAACCCAAGCTTTCACCTAAAGAAATACAGGATTTACTTTGTCGCGCCTTTTCAAAAACTTGTAAAGAAGTATATTCAGATTGGAATCTCCACACTTTAACTATTGCCAGTAGTAGTGACAAGAAAAAAATGTCGCTTCATATCTCTACTTTCGGTTTAAGACTTAAAAATATTGCCAAAGTTGCAGTATTTACTGAGCTCGTTCGTAAAAAACTCCCAGTTAGTTTACAAAGCAAAGATATTGTTGATAATATCGCCAATAAAAGATCGTTTTCCTTGCGAATCCTCGGAACGCCAAAAATTATAGAAGAGACGAGGGAGCATGTGCGAATAAAGAAAGCGTTATTTCCAAAAGATAGTTCTGTCTTTGATTTTATGCTTCGCCCACCTAATGATGAATCATCAATTATAGACAGTCCAATCTTGAATATTACGAAAGAAACAGCGATAAATAGAAAAGCGGATAATGGGACTATTAAATCTGAAATAGGATACATAGAAAAATTACTTGAGGAGTATAAAATCGAAGGTTTTGAAGTTTTATATCCTTCACCATCACTCCCAAATGTATTCCCCCTAAATCGCATAGCAGAATCTCGATGTCCACTCTGCAATCGGAGGCACACTAGTGATAACGCGTATGTAATCCGAAATAAGAAAACTTATCAATATTATTGTCATCGAGCGGATCAAGAAACGCAAATAGGCACGAAAAAACCCTCATTAAAACTTACTTTAAATGTATCGGTCTTGGAACGGGAAAACAGTCTTCCATCCCCAGAAAAAATAGAGCGACCCAGAATCTCAGATCTAAATGACCACTTTGTATGGGGTGATTTAATTCGTATGTGTACTTCTAAGAAAAATTTTATTCGGAATGAAGTATATAATGCAATTCAGGCTACACTCGCTTGTGTGGTAAAAGAGAAACGAACATGGATTCTTAAACACAGAAAACCGGATGGTAAATTATACTTCGGTATGGCACCTACTCTAGATTTCGGTAAAATAACTATTAATATAGTAGAACTTGGAGAACCAATAAAATTAATCTCTTTGATAGATCGTATATATGACAGCAAGGCGATTATTTATGATGATATCGATTTCTTACCATATCCACCTAATATCGAGCAACCAAAAAACGAATTCTTCAATCTTTTCTTAGGATTCAAGGCTAAACCAGCACTTCGAATTAATTACGATCTTGTGAACCCGATTATATGGCATATAGAAAATATCTGGTGTGATGGGAATAAAGTTCTTTCTACATATGTTCTCAAATGGTTAGCATTTTTAGTTCAGTATCCAGCAATAATTCCAGGTACAATTCTTGTTTTGCGTTCACCGCCACGATGTGGGAAAAATATTATTACTGATTTTATTCGAAAAAGTTTATTCGGTCCAGAGCTTGTATATTCAACGTCCGATTTAGGTAAAATTTTGGGAAAATTCAACAGTAGTATTCAAGGACGTAAACTTATAATTATGAATGAAGCGGGAATGTTAAGTGGGGAATGGCATAAGTCAAATGATCATTTAAAATCTTTAATTACAGAAGATTATGTCTCAATTGAGCGCAAAGGTCTCGAAAATCAAGAATGTGGCCATTTTCCTGGATTTAAAGTATTAAGTAATCATGACGCTCCAATTCGTGTTGAGCAAGGAGATGGCCGTATTGTATGTTTAGATGTTTCACCTCGATGTAAAGGCAATTTTAAATATTTTGGTCAGCTAGGGAAAATTCTCAACCATCCTGATACACCTGGATCTTTTATGAGCTATTTACTCGATCAAGACCTTTCGAATTGGAATCCACAAGAAAATATTCCTACCACCAAAATGAAAACAGAGACAATGCGTGAGCATCTCCCAAATCCCATTCGATTCACAATTGATCATATTTCAGTATGGCAAAAGATCAAATTGAAAAACCAGGTTGTGCTATGTTATATCAGGTGTATCGTACATGGTGTGAAGCTAATGGTGAAAAAGCATTCAGTAGTAACACTTTAGGAAAACAATTCTCACGGATTAATATTGAGCGTAAACGATCGGGGAGTGGAAAAAGAGAGTGGCAGTATATTCTTGATCGATTCAAAATCGTGTCCAAGTTACGTGAATCATTAGGTGATATAGAAGAATTTTCTGATGCACCTCAAGCCGAGACATCCACTCATGCTTCCACAGATATCCCCGTATTCAACGTACCTGAAATAACAATCCCGAAACCAGAAAAAATATCAAATACAGATCACATTGAAAAAGGTAAGGAAATAGTATCCACCCCTCCTATTACTGACATGACCCAGGATTTCTTCGATTCTATAACAAATGAAAGTTCAGTTGCTTCGTCATCCAAGTCTACCGATATATCTCTGCCCCCTGAGATCAAACACGTAGAACCTGTGGATGATAAATCACAAGAAATTATCGAGGAATCAGAGATTATCGAATCTGTAAAAAATGAGTCAGAAATTTCTCCCGACTTACCAGCAAATGATGAACCCAAAACCAGTAACGAAGAAACTCCCACCCAGATATCATACCCACCCGGATATTTGACCAGGGAGCAACGAGATGTACGTCTTCGTAAAAAAGCCATTGAACTTGGTGAGGATCCAGATAAGTTCGTTACCATTACTGAAAAAGACAAACTCGATTCAATAGCATTCCGTGATAGAATGCAGACTGATGCGAGAATGTGTGGCTTTGCAAAGGAAGCCGAAGAAGATCCCAGTGAATATATGGATATGACAGTGCGAGAAAGACTAATAAGCGAAGAAATAATCCGTCGTTCTCTCGAGGAAGATGGAATCACCTCATCATGGCTGGATACTGACGAGGAATGGAAAAAAACAGTGAGCATACTCCAGGCAAATGGTATGCTATGGTAAGTCTGCGAAGCAGGACACTCTGTGTCTATATGTATATAAAATAGATGCAAAGCATCCTCACTTCGTGAGAGGAGTGAATAGGTAAATTTTGCAGGTAGGAGCTTCGCTATAGGGGGATTTTTTGCTCCTACAAACTAGTTAATATAAAAATTTTCAATAAAAATATTACGGAAACAATATGTTCTTAGCTCTATATATACCGTAAACAAAATGAACGATCAAGAATTAGAAACTCCAGAAAAAGTACTTAACCTATTAACTGACCGGATGATAAATCTGAATGGACCAACATTCCGTAAATTAATCAGCAATGGATATAGACATGTTAGTGATTTATCGAATTACTCAGAAATATCTGAACATGCCGATTATGGTTGTTCCGATTACACGGCCTTCTTATTTAATATATGGAAGCCGGCAGTAATACCACCACCCGAAATATTACAAAACAGACCGGACATATATCTCAAATATCTTGTAACTGTTGAATCATGCCAGAATCTATTTGGGTAGGTACACTAGAAATAGAAAAATAAATTATAGAAGTCAATATAGCCTGAGTCGCCACAACTCGAAGCTATATGCACTACATACGTGCGAAACAAATTTTTTTCATTATGATCTATGTAATAGTAAAACTTAAATCGACATATCTGATCTGGTCAAATTTTTTCCAAATATCGGTTGGATCTTCGGACAAGAATGAATAACATTCCAAATCGCTATTTCAGAAATTCCTTTACAGTTAGAAATATTCAGATATTTTAATTTATGGCATGAATTTGCAATTGCATATAGACCTTTATCAGTTATTAATCTACCATAAGCCCCCTTTGCTAAGTTGAGATAGTCCAGATTGGGATATGATTTTGCTATTCGATTTAATGTTTTATCCCCGAATCCTGCACTAAAATGTAAATTCAAATGAACTATATTTGGAAACAGGCGTATAATACCTTTGAATTTTTTATCTGAAAGTGAATAGTAGTGTGGAATTTCCAGATGGGTTACGTTCAAACAATAAACTGGCTTATGTTCACCACGTATTATTTTCATAAAAATTTTTCGTATGTTACTGTTCTTTAGCTCAACTCGTTTCCATAGAATAGGAGCATCGCATCTGTACCACAATCGGGAAACAAATAGAGCAGGATAGAGGGATTTATCTATCAATAAGAAATATAAAATCCGTTCTAACACTTCTGGTATACTAAAAATTCTTGAATGTTCCATAAATAATATATGTATTAAAAATGCAAAAACCGATTTAATTTCAAATCGATAATCAGTTACCCATATGTAGGCATATACTCTCTTTTTCTGAACATGGGAGGAAAAGCATAATTAATTTCGAATTGAAAAAATATATTCATAGTTATAGTCCGCACAAATATCCCAATCAACAATGTCAAAAGTTGCAACAAATTTCGTGAATCAGTATAACTTGACTCCTCAGATGAGTATAGCTGAGCTTGGTAACTATGCTGAAAAAATATGTAACAAGATTAAAGATTATAAAGCCCGTGATCACGCTCGAAATAAAATCCAGAAGTTAGGATTTAGCAAAGATCAAACATATGCTTTAATTCCTATCCAGGATTCCGGAAGGCGTGTTACAGGGCGAGATCCAATTAAAAAGCTCGCTCAATATATTAAGGAGAATGAAAATAATATTGAACCCGAAGAGATAAATATGCTAGCATATAACTTAGCTAAAACAGCTCCTACAGTAATAGCCCAATCATCGCGCCTTAAATTGCTCCGAAAAAAATTACGCAATCTCGATGCTGATTATCTTACATTAGAAGCAATATAAATACCCGATATCACTCAAAGATCAAATAAAGAACAAGCGATAAATCAGGAGCTCCGTGAAGATAAAGGATATGATTGTCCAGAGTTCTTTTACTTGGGAAATGTTCAGAAAAGACTTAAGGATTGTAATATTGCCAATTCCCCTACAATGCAGAATTTAATGGATATAATAATAATGTTATGTATGAGGCCAGCAGATGTTGCAAATCTTCGCATTGATTACTATAAACCATCTAATGCTGATTGGTACTATCCTAAATATTCCTGGTACTGCACTGGATATGCTAAAAATAAAAAAGACGAGCCTAGACCATTTGTGTCTATGGAAAAAAATCCAGAACAAGCTAGGAAATTACTCATTTGGATCCAGAAAGCAATTCCGGTGAAATTCCCATTTCTAATAAGAGATAAAGATGGTGATGTAAACGTTCACCCTATTAATAATTTCCTAGCTGTTTATAGAATAAGCTCATCATATTTGAGAAAAATCGGATCTGATCATGCTATTATAATCCATGAAGGTAAGACTCGCTCTAAATGTAACCGTCTTTGTAAATTAGCATTAAGGCACAAAATAAATCGAGAAGCATCAGATCATTATGGTATAATGAATAACAGACTGAATACTCCAGCACCTAAACAAGAAAATAGTGAAGTTGAGGATATTATAGACCTATACAATTACTAATCGCACTTCTTTACTTTACCACATCCATAATAAAATCTTTATCATCATTGGATGATTCAGACTCAGACCCAGATGAGGATGAGGACTCAGATGCGGTATTGTTAAAAATTAGTTTTTTTTTCTTTTAGCCATACATGGTGTACGATTTCTCCGAAAAATATTTGGGTTTGCTATGTCTCGAAGAGACGTCCCTAAAGGGCCCGAATTTATAATATATTGATATTGCTGAATCTCGGGTTTCACTATCTCCAGTAATCGGTGAAGAAAGATTCAGTTTTTTTTACCTGATACTTGCTTAACAATGTCAAATACCGCTTTATCAGTAACATGCATCTTGGCACTAGCTTCGCTATTGGGTAAACTTTTATCTTTTTCAAAACCCAATTTTTTCGCAATTAAATATATTAGATACATCTGAAATAGCAAATATATAATGAATTATAGAGTTTTGCAAAACAATAGCCTAGAGGGCCCACGAGATAGGTTAAGTGAATATGGTGTAAATTATATCATTAACAATATTAAAACGTCAGAAGCA